GAGGTGGGTTGAAAAGGCGGGAAGGGATATCGTTAGGATAGACAGACTAGGGAAGGCCATTTTTGAGCCACCTTTGGCAAAGTAGAAAGGAACGATTGGCCATCGGTGATCGGTCCTGTGGGAACAATGCTCCGTCCTCTCGAGGACGCGTGGTCAATGGTCTAACCGCTAAGGCATACAAAACATAAGACTACGCCCCCCCCCCTCCTATGTGACCCCGGCTGGGTTGTCTCGCTGGTAGAAGTGAAGGATGGGAGCCAGAGGGGCAGACGACAGAGTCCGACAATGGGAGGGAAAAAAAAATAATGTGGGCCCGAACGGCGCCGAAGGTTCAGCCTCACAGTACATCATTACGAAAAACCTGCCGTGAGAAACGAACATTTGTGGGGCACACACAAGAAATGAAGAGCCCTGCCATCAACTCAAGCGAAGTCAAGAGTTGTATGCAGCTTTACGGCTAGCTGTCTTGCCTTGTGGCAAGTTTTCCAGAAAAATAACCTGGGGGCGGGGAGCGGCAATACTCCCCATCTACCAACACCCCCCTAAGATCCAACTTCGTCCAGGATCGCTAGCCACCAGAGCCTAAGCGGCAACACCTCTGACCTCACCAACGCTTCAAGGCTCTTCAGCTTGCACCCGCGTTCAAAGAAAACCCACGACTGTACGGAACAAGCCCTGCAGCTCAAGCCCCACCAGCAACGCCACCACGCTGCTCAAGTCCGCACCCTTGGCTCCAACTCCACCTCCACTCCCGCCGTTAAGAGCCTGCCCACTCACATCCTGTACAACGGAACTTGTCGCGCCCTCACAATTCGCAACCTTACAGTTGTCTTTTGCTCGGGCAGCAGATTCGTTCGAATCACCACCGTCTTTGCCACTTGTTTCGTCCTTCGCTGTCGTCTTCGAGGCGCGCGAGCGGACCATTATCAGCCAGCTTCGTCGACGCCAGCCGCCTCCGCCCGGGCCAACAGCAGGCGTGCGCGCTTCATGTCTTCATCCGAACAGTATGGCTTCTCTGGCTCGTGCAAGAGTGCGGGTCTGTCAAGCAAATGCACAGGGGTTTGGCCACCAGTTGTTAAGGCTGTTTCGTCTGCTCCCCATCTCAGCAGAACATCCACGTCTCGGCCAGGCCGGCAGACATCCCACAGCAAGCATCGTGCAATGGTGTATTCTTCTTATTTGCACCACACTTATTTACCACGGCCCTACTATGCAAGAGAGGGCTAGCAAAGCTTTGTTTTTGCTGGCACACGCGGCAAAGGCGAGAGGTGTTCGTACGTCGTTTGTCATTAGATTGACGTCGGCTCCTTCCTCAATCAGTGCTTCTACGATACCCGCCTGGTCTGCACCAGCAGCGGTGTGCAGAGCGGTGAGGCCCCTGTAGTCACGAGTATTCGCATTAGCCCCATGTACAAGGATTGCTTTCAGGATGTGGGCGTACCCATGGTACGCAGCTCAGTCGAGGGCCGCGCAGCCGCTGTTGTTTCTGTCAGTGCTCCGGATAGACTATTGAAGTTGGAACCAGCAGGCAAGAAAGCCTCGGCTGCAGCCAACTAGCCCTCGTCTGCTGCCCAAATCAGTGGCGACTTCCCGCACCCGTCCAGAACATCGATGTCTGCCCCCTTGAGCAAGGGCAGACGCAATACTCGGATGCCCACCCAGGGCAGCTTGCTGCAATTGACTAATTCTTGAAGGAGCGGAACTGAGCCGACTTGGGTCTGCATCAGCTATCAACAGGTCCTTCACCAGCTGTTCATGCCCCCCGTAAGCCGCCTCGTGAAGCACAGAAAACCGATCCACGAGGTCCTCGAAGCGTGCGTCCGCCCCGGCGGAAAGCAATAGTCTCGCCGCTTCTTCGTGGCCGCACACCATCGCCACGGACAGCCGATCTCTTCGGGGCCATGGACACAAGGGTCACGTCCGGTTTCGCCCCTGCCCGAAGCAAAGCGGTGACCACGTCTGCGCTACCGCCGAGCGCGGCTGCGTCGAACAGAGTGCGACCTCGATACCCTCTCCATCCCGCACTCCCGTCAGCCCCAGCTTCGATCAGGATCTTCACCAGATCCAGGTTGCCGCGGGCAGCGGCGTGTTCGAGAGGCACCCGAAGCCACTCCGCCCACTGGTCGGGCGTGGCGCCGTACGAAACGAGCTTGAAGATATCCGTCTCCAGCCCTTGCAGAGGTACTCGCTTGGGAAAGAGGTGCATCTTGCTAGTGAGGTAGTCATCGTGGTGTGGTGCTGCTGTCCAACCACGGCTGCTGTGTCCTGTGACCTGGGTTTGCCTTGGGTGCGGCGCAACCCCAACGCACGAGACCGGCGGCTCCGTGGATCAGTGCAGTCAGGCCGCATGTGGCGCAGAGCTGAACAGACACTTACCACCCAATGCTGGGTGTGTGTGCTTGTGTGCTGTACTGCGCCACCGCACGTGGTGTTGACGGACGGCCATGGTCAGCGGCGGGGCGGAAGATGGGGGGGGGGGGCAGAAAAAGGACCCTCTTCGCCTCCTTGGATACCTGAAGGCCAACAAGAGGGTGGCGTACGTGCTGGTGGTGATGGTGCTAGTGCACCTCTCGAACCAGTACGATAGGTGGGTTCATTCTTCCTCCAATTGTGTCATGTGTCACCAATCGGAGTACTCTAATTCGTGCCGTGATTCAGGTATGTAGGTCTGGAGCGTACACAGGCAAAGCCTATCATACAAGCGCTGCACGTGGCCTATGTCGTTGAATTTCCTCATGGCATTAATTGGTCAGTTCGTGATTGTAGTGCACAACAGCAGTGTTGCGCGGTGTGTACAACACATACATCCATCACTCTGCGTATGTCCTACCGCACTCACCTCTCTGCAGTACAGCAGTAATAGACGACGGATACAGATCTCCAAACCGAACATGGATGGCTGCACCTCGGTCTCGCAACCAAGGAGATGAGAAACGAGGACTTCCGTCGGTCCATGTGTGCGCACGTGTGCGTGATGCCCCCGCCCTGAAAATTCAGGTAGTTTGCATTTGCGCGCAAGCCCGGAAATCCCCCAACCGCGAATCACTCTCCCATCATCTGCCTAAATGAGCATAGCAACAGCAGGGAAGTACAACATTGTAGACCAGAACCGCAGGGAGAAGGAACCTTCAAATTTCTTGTACGTGTTTTTTTGTATTTGTTTATATGTTACTGCTGTACCATGGTATGTTCCGTGTGGTATTGGGGGAGAGGACGTATTGCACATACATTTAGCAGAGGAACTCAGCCCTCGCCAGCAACAGCATAGCCACAGCTCCTGTCAAGCTGCAAAATCGAGACGCTGAACGACAACCCGTCGTTGACGCGCCGACCGGACCAGGTACCTCTTCTCGGTGTCGAAGATACCCTTCGTGGACTACGACAGCCTCGATTTCGCTCTCATCGCCGGCCCCTTCTTCACGGCGTTCAACTCCCTCGCCGGGGTGGTGCTCAGCTTTTCTGGCGGCGTCCGCCCTGTCCGGGTGTGCTTGGCTGCATCGGTCTTTTTTGTCGTTGTTTTTGTTGTTTGGTTTCTTCTTCTTCTCGTTCTTTTTCTGTTCTTCTTCTAGTTTTCCTTCTTCTTCTCGTTCTTCTTTTGTTCTTGTTGTTGTCCTGCTTCTTCTTCTTCTTCTTCTTCTTCTTCTTCTTCTTCTTCTTCGTTGTCGTCGTGTCGGACAACCCTCACCCTCGAACGACCGCGATCAGTACTTTGGTTGTAGCATCATGAAGGACGCGTTTTTCCACAAGGTTCTTGACTTTGTTGCAGTCAGAGCTCAAAGCTGCGGTGCACTAAGCGGCATGTAGAAGCAGATGCATTTAATGTTGCTGGACAACCACCATAGTGGACAACCTGTGCGGTTGTACACATCATCGGATGGGGTTGGCGCTTGGAACGATTGTTTTTTTGCTCCGGAAAGTCGTGTGCCTACAAGACCGTGTTGCCAAACGGAAGGCGTAGCCATAGCAGTAAACCTTGTCCAGTTCGGCAGGTACGCGATCGCTATTTCGTGCCATATAGTGCCAGCATCGCAATGAAAGCAAACCCCTCGGGAAAAATCTCCAGCGGGCTTTGCAATACCTAAGCGTGGAGCTTGGGCACCTCTAACCGACCGCGTTGGTTGCTAGGGTATTTATTATGAAGTATATTTTTGGGCGATACCACCGGCGTGGGGTGGTGTTTTTTTTTATGTTGCTGCTGATGCTGCTGATGCTGCTGATGCTGCTGTTGGCGGTTCCGTTGTCGCCGTTGCTCCGCCTTGCGACCGCACGGTTTTGCACCAGCTCCTAAGCACAGCATGCCTCATCTGGAGCGCCTCTACCGGAGCTGTGGCCTTCACGCACAAGTTCTGGCAGGTGAGCGAGCGTAGGGGGGATGTTCCTCAGGCTCTCCTGCGTGCGACGCTACATTTCAGTCCGCACCGCGCGGTGCAGTACGGAGCACTGCCCTGGTTCGATTGTTTTTCGACTGCTACACCGTTCAGGCTGCTACGCGCAGCAGAGATCGATGCACCAATTCCCGAAACGTCTGTGATTTTGGTGTTTTCTTCGTTGTGAAAAGGTGGCGCTCGCGAGGATTGGGCAGGGTATCGGAGACGCTGCCTGCAGCCCCTTCGCCGTGAGCATCCTCAGAGACAACTTTGGTCCGGAGGTCATCGGTTCCGCGATAGGTGCGTCGCTACATCCACCATCTCCGCCGTGGCCGCACGTGCCTCAAGTGTATACAGCTCAGGGCGCGGGGGGGGTACTCATAGCCATGGATACCGTACAGGGAAGCAGCGTACTCATGTTTTGAATGCCTCAGCGGTTAGACCATTGACCATGAATCCTCGAGAGGACGGAGCACTGTTTCGACAGGAACGATCACTTATGACCAACCCGTTCGTTCCTACTTTGCCAAAGGTGGGGGGGATCCGGTCATGTCGGGGGGTGGGCGCCACCATCCCTCCCTTTTACTTGTCCCTGCCTCTGCTTCCCCCCTAGTTCCGCCGCCGCACCCGTACCGTAACCCGCACCGTGCTTCTCTTAGCGCCAATCCCAACATAAGATGAAAATATGAAGAATGATGAATCAGCGGTCAGCACCATCCACGGTGGATTTGAAACACTATGGTAGATTCTAAACAGAACCCAACCGTCCATTTTGTTAACAAACCGTACGACCAGATGCATATTTAATTTTACAGCAAGCGCTGAAGCCCACAAACAAGCGCCCCAGGACACGAAAAAAAGAGAAAGGCAACGACGCTCGAAAAAACAACACATGGGGCAAAAAAAACAATTAAGTGATAACAATAACAGGTGTGTACTACGTGGGTCTGTACGCGGGGTTCAGCCTGGCGCTAGGCGGCGGCACTCTCGTGGACGACCTGGTCGGGTGGAAGTGGTCATATCTGCTGGCAGCGTTGGCGGGGGCCGTGGTGGCCGCGTTGACCTTCCTCACGGTGCCGGAGCCGCCGCCGCCCGGCCAGGCGGTGCTGATGCCGCCGCCGCAGCAGCAGCAGCAGCAGCGAGGATGGGGCGGCGCGGACGCGCCTCCGGGTGCGGCCGCGGTGGCGGAGGGTTCGGCGTCGACGATAACAAGGAGGAGCGGGGGCGGCGGCAGCCGGCCGGCGGTCTCGTCTCCGGTGTATTCCATGGTCGGCAGGGAAGGCCGGGGGAGGGACTCTCTCTCTGCTTCCGCGAGAGGAGAAGGGTACGGGTCGGATCGCCCCGCGGTCGGTAGCGGCGGTAGCAGCAGCAGAAGCAGCAGCAGCCACGAGAGGGAAGAGAAAGCGGGAACGGAGCCGCCGTGGTTGGCGACGGCGGCGGCGAGCAAGGCGCGCTCTTCACCGTCGTCGTCGCCTCCTCCGCCGCCGGTGGCGACGCCGCCTTCCACCGACCCGCGCTTGTTGTACAACCCCCCCCAGACACAACGCCGGCCCCCGCCGCCGGGGGGCGCGGAGGAAGGGTTTGGGCTTCAGCGCGGCTCCTCTCCGTCGTCGTCGTTGACGGCATCACCACCGCCGCCGCCGCCGCCGCCGCCGCCACAACTGCAGCCGCGCCGGAGCTCGGCGTACTCGAGGCTCCTCCATCGATCTCAAGGCAAGCTGTCGGACCTCTCGGCCGCCTGGCTGGACTCCCCGTCGCTTCTGCTCGTCTGCGTGGCCGGCGGAGTGCGCGACGCCGGAGGCTTCGTGTTCGGGTACTACCTGGCGAGCTACTTCAGCCCGCTCCTGGACGGAAACCCGAGCCTGACGCAGCACGGTGACGACCCCTGCTCGGCGTCGTACGACGTCGGGTACGCCGGCGACCAGGTAGGTGTTATTGACGGACTGCTGAGTGTGTTTGCTCTTGTTCGTTCGTTTGGTGCTTTTGAGCTCTTCGCTCTCTCTCTCTCTCTCTCTCTCCTCTCTCTCTCTCTCTCCTCTCTCTCTCTCCCGGCAGGCGGTGGTGGTGATGCGATTGTTGAAGATGGTGCTTCATGCGCATTTTGTGGATGGTCCTCGGGGAGTAGTTGGGTGTTTTGGGTTGTGTTTTCCTCTTCGTGCCTGTTTCCTGCAGTCGATCATTTTTTTTTCTGAACCATAGTCACGAGAGTTCTGGTGAGCCCCCCCCCCGCTCCCCCCAATTGAAATTTCCCCGCCCGGACCCCATGTAACGTCGTTTCTCATCTCTTTTCCTCTCCTCGTGTGTATCTCCCGGGGGGGTGTGTACCATTACTACTGTACCACACGCGACCCCAAAACAACGTTCGGCCGAAAACAAGATCTGCGACGAAGCTTACCCGTGGTGCGTGGAAGGCTCCTGCTTCAGGCTGACAAGCTCTCCCTGGCACGACGTCGGCATGCCGGCGCACCATCTGGAGTGTTTCATTTCGTGGGTGCCGGTCGTCGGCGGCTCCCTCGGGGCCATGATTGGTGGCTTCTTGTCCGACCGGGTCGCCCAGGTACAGCAGCAGCAGCAATAGCAGCAGCAGCAGCAGCAGCAGGAGGGCTTTGCCACGAGGAACGAGGCGTTTACGTAGAAGCGGAGTTCAAAGCATTTTGATTGGTCGAACCCCCGAGACTTGAGTTTTGTAGAAGCCGAAATCAATCCATCAGGGTGGTGAGCGCTTAGTCTTGCGATTTGATTTTATCTTCTAACCTCGTGCGTCCCGTTTTTTTCGTTTTCCTTTGAGGAAGGCGAAAGAGTTTGCTTCCCCGTTATGGTAATTCAGCAAATTCTCTTGTCTGAGATCATTGTTGCGCCCAGACTCTCGTTTCTCTCTAACGTAGCACCTATTGACCACGCCTCCCTCCCCTCCCCACCCGTGAACTTGACGCGGATAAGCCTGGCAGAGCATGTATCGCTGTTCGTGCTTTGTCTGCCCACTGCAAACCCCAGGAAAATATCCTGGTCGTACCCACTTTTTCTTTTAAAGGACCACACACAGCACCAGCAGTACAACACTCTACGGCACTAAACGTAGCTTGGCGGCGGGCTTGGCATGTCTACCGGTGCCACGGTGTGCCCTCGCCTCCTGGGAATACCCCTGGTCTGCACAATTCGTCAACAGCGGCAGGCAGTGGACGGAAATGGTTGTACTCTCTCACAGACGAGTTTTTTTTTTTTCTATCGCAGAAGCGAAACGAATTCCCATGTTTGGAACTGCTTTCCACTTGGTCCACCATTTTTATTTTTTTTATTTTTCCCAGCGGCTAGGAACGGCGGGGCGTCTGTGGGTAGTGATCGTTTCCAATGCTCTGGCGTCGCCCTTCGCCGTCGGCGTCCTCCTGGCCCCATACCCGTGGTGCTTTGTGTGCCTCCTGGGGGTGGAGCTCTTGGGAGAGATGTGAGTGGTAGACAGTAGTCTTCACATGCCCTTTGGCACCCCAAACATACCCTAGGGTTAGGGTTTACATACCTTTGGGTTAGGGTAAGTGGTAGGTGTACTGCTCTTGTTTTTTTGTCATTGTCACCTCGGCGTTGCTTATATTTCTGGCCGTTGGCGTGGTGTCCAGACGCGTGTGGTGTAGTGGTAACATAAGTGCCTTCCAAGCACTTGCCCGGAGTTCGATTCTCCGTACGCGTATTTTTTTGTTTTTTGTTTCGTCCTCTGGTGGACCGTGGTCAAGGGTCTGACAACGAAGGTATTCAAAACATAAGAGTACGCCCCCCTCCCCACCCACACGTTTTGTTACAAACGGCAGAAACTCTGGCGGTGCCTCTAGAAAGAGCAAGAGCAGCCCGTTGCCGACTGTATCTCGAAAAACGACTGCGTGCTCGAGTTCGTGTGTACCAAAATGATGTGTGTTCCGGATTGCTGTACTGCTGTACGCCCTAAACAAACTAGTGTTCGTGTGCACCAAAATGGCGATTTGTGCTTCGGATTTACTTTTTCTTTTTGTGGCGCCGTTACCAGGTGGATCGGCGTCGTCCTCGCCGTGGTGATAGCCCTCGTCCCGCGGCAGGTTCGCATCACCAGCGTGGCCATGTACAACTTCATCATCACCAACATCAGCGGCCTCTCCACGACCCTGGTGCCGCTCATCCGCGGGCGGTACGACTCCGAGCACACGTTCAGCTTCCTCGTCGAGCCGCTCGCGGGAGCCGCCGCCGCGGCCGCAGCAGCTGCAGCAGCCGCATCATCCTCTTGGTCCGCGCAGAGCGGTGGTGGCGATGGCGATTCGGGCCGCATGCTGCTGTCTTCGCCGTCCGGTCTTGCCGAAGCGGTGGCGGCGGCGGCGGCGGCGGTGGCGGCTGAAGGGCCGGTTGAGGTCAGCGTGTCGGAGGCGGGGTCGCACGGGCTGCAGGCGGCGCTGCTGTGGATGTACCCGGGGATGTACCTGGCGTCGTCATGTGAGTAGCAGTGCGCGCTAGCACGGTGGACGGCTTGTGTNNGGGGGGGGGGGGGGGGGGGGGGGGGGGGGGGGGTACTCATGTAAACGCATGCCGTAGTCGTTAGACCGTTGACCTCGCATCCCTGTAGGCGGGAACGGAGCGATATGCCGGGCCGTGTTGTCGAGGGAAAGACAAATGTTTCGTGTCGGCCCGGACAGGCCGGATGTGGATCAACTTTTTTCTCCGCGGACTTTCTGAATACACCACACATTCCCTCCCCCCCCCTACGCCTGCCCTGTTTCGCTCACACGCCGTCCGTTCGAACAAAATGCCCAGTTTTTTGTCTAGCGGCGGTGCTGGCCCTCGGCCGAGATGAAAAGGACGAGGCTGCCGCAGCCGCAGCAGTCGCAGCAGCAGCTACCGTCGCAGCAACTCCAGACGAGCCAGGGCACCTTACAGGGTCGTTGAGTGCGGAGGGCTACGAGCGGTTGCCCCCGGCGGCCAAGCGTTGGGAAGACTACGGGTTGCCGGAAGGGCGAAGTGGTAGTGCCGCCGGTGGTGTTGGTCAGGGTGTCCGTGGTCGGTTTGACGGCGGCGGCAATAGGGGCGGCGGTGGCGGTAGAGGTGTTTGCGGTGTGGCCCAGGAGGGGGGGCGGGGTGTGTGTGGGGGGGGTGAGGCAATGGATGTACCGCTCTTGCGGGGGGCACGGGAAGCCGCGGGTGCCGGGAGGTTGCTTTCGTCCGCAGAGGTTTGACTCGAGTATCTAACGGTTAAGTCTTTGGTGGCGCCTAGCCGTCATGAGTTTGCAACACGGCCATTTTTTTCGGGTCGGAAAGGGCTTCAGGGACCTGGGTATCAGTTGTGGCAAGTGTTTTTTTCAAACACGTGCCTTCAAACATTTCAGGGCGTCTTCGAACCCTATTCCTTTCTTTGTGAACATTTGTAAAAGAGCTCGTTCCCCGCCCCCCGGGTAATCTCAACGGGATCGACCTGTGTTATTTGGTGGTGGTTGCTGGTATAAAGGGGGTAATAGTATATTGAGGCGGATTCTCGTGGGTATTGATTGCTGATGTGTGAAATAAGCGATAAAGTCGCACGCGGGCGGTTCCGTGGCATGTGGTTGGTGGTCGTATTGCTTTGTTGCGCCGTGCTCCGTGCTCCCGGTATGAAAGCGTGTCCGGGACATAAAAAGTGTGCTGTTGGCTTCGTCGCCAGACCCCGTGGCTGCTGGTTAACTCGAGCAGCCGGAGAGTGATGAGCGGGGCCAACTGTGTGCCTTGCTGTGCTGAGACGATGTTGATTTTGACCCTTACAGAATAGGTGGGCCCTTCTTTCGGCGGCTCCCTTCTTCATTATTGAGCGGCGATATTCCCACGGAGTTGAATTTTGATGGTGGGAAGACAACACTGTTCCTGCTTTATTTTCACAGAAACGGTGCGCTCTTTCGGCCGCCCCCTCTTGTCATGATCGAGCGGCGACAGTCCTCTCGTTTGATTGACAAGCCTCGGGGGCACGGGTGTGTGTAGTGCCGTTTATTCAATGTTGGGTGAGGAGAGCGAGAGACAAAATAGAGATACGGAGTGCGAGGGAAACTGGACTTGCGGGGGGGTAGGGGGGGAGGGGGGGTGTACTCATCGTCGTGCATGCCGTAGTCGTTAGACCATTGACCTCGCATCCCTACAAAGCCGGCACGGAGCACGCCGGGTTCTCACCGTACCAGGCTCTCACATCACCAAGCGCGAAGCGCCGTGAGATATTCGGCGAGTCGCATGAAGGGTGCGCTGCATCCTGCTAAGG